TCAAGACCCAATCAACATCAAACCTCCACCTTCTCTTCGTCCCAATTACGAACTGACACTCAACTACGGGAGATAGAGCTTAGTGAACACGACGTCGCTAATTGCCTAAGAAATCTTGATACATCCAAAGCAAGTGGTCCCGACGGAATTCCTGCACGTCTTCTAAAAGAATGCAGCCAACAAATCGCTCCGAGTCTTTGTTCTCTCTTCAACCTCTCCCTACAATCCAGTTGGATTTCTTCCGAGTGGAAATCAGCAGACGTGGCACCGATCCATAAGAAAGAATCGAAGGAGCCAGCGGAAAACTATCGGCCCATTTCGTTACTGCCAATTGTCAGTAAAGTCTTGGAACGCTGTGTGTACTTTAAGATTTCACGACCACATTCTACATCACATTAGCCAAGCTCAACATGGTTTTCTTCGAAAACGCTCGTGTGTGACTCAACTGCTATCAGTATTCCACACTATTGGACATGATCTAGATAAGAATATTCAGACGGACGTCTTGTATCTGCAATCGTTCTCGAGAAACTACGTTGTTACGGTGTGACAGGGTCAGTTTTGGGTTGGTTTGCAGACTATTTGAATGGTAGGACTCAGAGAGTCGTTGTAGATGGTGTGGCTTCGACATGGTCACCAGTCACCTCTGGAGTGCCTCAAGGAAGTATTCTCGGTCCGTTATTGTTTGTCATCTTCATTAACGATCTCCCAGATGTTGTGCAAAATGGAACTGAAACAGCCCTGTATGCCAACGATACTAAATTGCACAATACAATTACCTCTACTGATGACTGCAAATGTTTACAACAATCGTTGACAAATCTGAATTGCTGGAGTGTACAAAACAACATCCGTTTCAATGCTTCTAAATGTAAAGTACTCACCATTACACGCAAGAAATCTCCTGTCACTTATGATTACAAACTGGGAACAGAAAGTCTGACTCGAGTTGACAGTGAAAAGGATCTTGGCGTCATCACTTCCTCCGGACTTTCATGGGAACTTCAAATCAATTGTGTCATCTCCAAGGCTAACAAAATGTTAGGTGTACTGAAACGAACATGTACTCAACTGACAGACATGAAAGCCAGGCGAACTCTTTATTTAACTCATGTGAAATCGCAATTATGCTACGCAACGGAAGTCTGGTCGCCCGTAAATAACATCCAACTCTCAAAGCGGATTGAAAGAGTGCAACGTCGGGCGACGCGATGGATCATGATGAGCAGAAGAGGAGAGCTGAACTACAAAGAACGTCTGTTGGCCTTGGACCTTCTGCCGTTAACCTTCGACAGAGAGGTTAAGGACTTGGTGTATCTGTACAAGGCTTTGTTTGGTTATGTTAATGTTGATGTTAGTAACTGTGTCTCGTTTGTCAGTCACGGTCGAACTCGGCTGAGTAACACCTCAAAGTACATTCTACAAAGTCAAATTTGTAGAACAAGCACTTTTCAATCTTCGTACTATAATCGTGTTGCCAAACTGTGGAACATTGTATGTAAAGATGTATGTTTGGACACTGTGTCTAATCCTAGTTCTTTTAAATGTTTAGTTAAACGTACATACTCTAGTATTGTTGATTCTATTTATGATGTTGACTTGTCATGTACGTGGTCCTTGTTTCGTGACTGTTCGTGTCATAGGACGTAAACTGTGGTGCATGCACTAGGTGTGTGTAGAGTTGTGTCTTGTGTGTGTAATGTTACATAAATTAGTTTTAATAATGTTTGGGAAGGTATCTTGCATGGTTCTTTGAGTCCCGTTTATACCTTGCCCATTTAGGGTCTATATTCTATTAATAGTTTGATTGGATATTTTATATGTTTTCTTTGTAATATATGATTAATTGACCCTAATAAAGATGATAATAATAATAATAATAATCATTGGAGAACATTCGTGTTTCTTCGGCCATGAATCCGTAACTTTACCAACTTGATGGGGCACTTTTGTTATCACATTTGGATGTGTGTTAATCTCTGCACACAGATTTGTGCAATCAAATAGTGTGCTTAATCTATATAAGTCAGGAAGCATTCTTGTTGGGTCAGTGGCGTAATTACTATGGGCTCAGACCGGGAGAACCCGGGGGCCCCCAACCCCAATGGGCCAAATGGGGGCCCCCAGGCTTAGGCTATAGAGCAAAAACATTGGCCAGGGCCTCTGATATGTTACAATGTTATTTACTGACCATCAGAATTCTGTAAAATCTCTCCCCAAAGTCCAGGAAATGGCATTTCAGAGAGTCTAGATTCAAAATTTTTCCGGATGAGCATGCCCTGGATCCCCTAGAAAACTTTGTGCATATACGGCGCTCGACTCGTGCCTTTGGTACGTCTACTAGGGGGGCCTTCGAAAATTTTGAACCGGGGGCCCCCTGATATAACGTTACGCCACTGTGTTGGGTTAGTGGTATCCAGACCCAAATACAATTCATCTATATCCAAGGATCTGCCAGTAGAGTGCAGCTCATATGATGTTCTGCCATCTTTATATTCGTACTTGATCTCTGTGGAAACTCTTCGATTTTGGAATTCCCAGTCTTCCAAACGCACAAGACTTCCTTTTGTGGTTCCATCACATATTAGTGACCAACCACTTGGGGGTTGTTCCAGATCTTCAGCTTCTTGACGTACCAAGTTGTTGAGGACTAGTCGCCTGTTCTTGCTCGCTCCAACAAGATTACGCTTAACTGCTCCATCATTCCAGATGTCATTGACAATGCAGCCTAATAGCTTAGGTGTAAGTGCTCTGCTGTTGGTGTACCAAGGGATATTTTCTTGTTCGCTTACAGAGTGTTTCACTATGTCATCCACAAATGTTTTTTCACCCATTTTATATTTGTAGTTTAATAAAAACCTAATAATATTAAAAGTACAAAATAATATTAACCAGAAAACAATTTGGGATCAAATATTTGTTCTACAATAAATAATACACTGACTTCATGGAGTGTATGGGTTCACGGATATAGCACTGTATATTTTAATTTAAATATAATATTATAAGTATATTTAAGCCGTTTCCAAGTTACGGGAACCACTGAGTATTACACAAGAACAGCAACTCCAAATAAAATTTTGAGTTATAAGTATATACAGAGAGCTTTCCAGCTCTGAATATGTTTCATTCAGACGCGTCAGTATATATAAATTTGTCTTTGTATTTTAAAAATAATATAAATACGTACCTGAAATAGATATATATCTCGTTTGTTTATACAACTTCATACATATTAAAGCATGTAAAGTGGAGAATACTTACCACATTTTCCATTGTACGAAGTTTACGGCGTAATCGGAGAACTTCGAGTTCATGATAAATAATTTCAATAATCAGTTTTAAAATAACAAGACATGAAAACAAAACGACAGTCGACAAACGACAAGGTTTCGCGTATGGCGAATACCCTCCCCCCCCCCTGGTCACCTCGCGATTGACTCCCCAAACGTTCGCTCTCTTACCGGAAATGGCCTGTTGTTGTTTTGAAAGCCGACCAATGACAATGCAGCGTGTAATTCGAATTTGAAGGCCATGAATTCAGATCGATCACGAACCTCGGAAGATTAGACATTTGTAAGTTTCAATTGGCATTTTCTGCAGGAAGATTATTGTTCAATTCTGTTAAAGAAAAGTATATTATGTAAAAATTATCGCTCTTCCGATATAACGTAATTTGGCGAGGATGCGACAGCCGAAGTTCGCGTTATTCGATTGATTTCTGTCAGCGTTTGTCCCAATTAGTCCAATTAACGGACAAAGTGACCAGCCTTGTATTATTTCTTGTTGTTAATCCTCATGTCAACCCCAACTATGGCCGTTCTTGGCCGGTTCTCGCTAAAATCTTTCAGGAAACACATGTAAGTGCTTTTCATTATACTATTGTATAAAGATATAACGTAATACAATTCTCTCATCCTCCCATTATTCGACTACGCTGATATTATATGGGGTGATAAGAACAACACCACCCTCATGGATCAACTTCAAATCCTTCAGAACAAGGCTGCAAAGACGATTCTTGACGCTCCTTACCTATCCTCCTCCACTGAAGCTCTCTCAAACCTACACTGGCACCCACTTACCCACCGACGATACTTACATCGAATGCTGACCATATTCAAATTGAAAAATAACCTGATAGACTACGACTTCGACCTACCTAAAGCCAACCACCTGCATAACACGAGACAAAGAGATCACATTCATCTCAGCAAACCTAGTACCAATTGGGGAAAGCAGAAACTTTTATACCAAGCTTGTAAGGAGTATAATGATTTGAACAAAAACATTATGTCAATTAACCATCTAGCTAGTTTTCATACTGCACTTCTTAAATCTCCATAGTATAATCGAACGCATTTTGCAAATAGCTCTTCTTTGTAATATATAATTATCTTAGTTCTATTTTTTAAAACTTTTCTTGTTTATATATATACATCGCATATAATCTGCATGCATATTATTGTTGTATGATCTTTTGTATTTGTATAGTTTTCTCAGGGACCTTCTGAAAAACACAACTTGTGATGTTGGTTTTCCTGAATAAATACTATTATCAATCAATCAATCAATAAATTAATAACACAAGATTTTCTAATGCTTTTCAATATACTATTTATATAAAGATATAACGTAATAAATTAATAACACAGGGTAAGATTGGGTCGCCTGTGGTGTAAGGGGCCACGTCCATATTCATGCTACCATGCATAACGTCGAATCGACGTTGTGGGTGGGTTTTTGACAATTTGACTATTTACATCCGAACAGACCGAAGTTTAAATATTTAATGTTTGCCGTGCAACTGTATATACCATATCCACCATATTTCAGTTGCCATTTTGATTTTGAGCTCTTTTAGCGGTCAAAATACGACAGGGTAACGATCGACGTTATCCGAGGTGGGTGGGTACTAGTGATAACGTCGATTCGACGTTATGCGTGGCAACATGAATATGGACGTGACCCCTAAATTAGAATTATTTATTCATTATAGAATCAAGTAAAAAAGCTTTCCTTTGAGCACAATATATTTTAAATATTTCATGACTATACAGGGTGTATAAAAAAAAACTGAACTGCTCTCAATTTCGCAAAACACCTATTTGTATCCGGTTTTATATATATATATATATATCTTCTTTAGGTACTTATAATGTAGAATAATGAAAAAAAATTCTCGAACTCAACCCACCAGGGGGGGGGGGGCGGGGGTCTTTTCCAACAAATTAAAATTGGCTCGCGAACAAAATTTAAAAGTTGTAATCATATTTTGAGTTAATAGATGGAAAATTGGTCGGGTCTTTAATTACTGCACAAAATAGCAGACAATTTGGTTTAGTTTAAGCCCGTTAACTATTCACGAAAAGTTACATTTTTCCTAAAAATCAGCTATTTGCATGCTTAATTAACGCCTTTGCCTAATTTGCATATGTCAGTAATATGCAAATTAGGTAAAGGCATTAATTAAGCATGCGAAAGGCTGATTTTTTAGAATAAAACGAATAGTTACCTTTAACTATGATTACAATTTTAACTAAAATATGATTACAATTTTAAAATTTTGTGCGCAAGCGATTTTTAGTTTGTTGGAAAAGACACACACCCCTGGTTCACAAAATTTGAGTTCAAGAATTTTTTTCATTATTCTACATTATAAGTACCCAGGGAAGCTATATGTATAAAAAACCGGATACAAATAGGTGTTTTGCGAAATTGAGAGCAATTTCAAATCTGTTCAGTTTTTTTTATTCACCCTGTATTAAGGGCTGATTATATACTCGTTTCTTTCGCAATTTTAATACTGTGGTTGAAAACTCGTGTGAAATAAAGCAGAAAGGCACAGCCACTTTATATTCTGTTGTGGCCAAGGAAAGATTTTCATTACTTAAATCAGTCTGGTTAACTGGGTATAAACTCGCCTCCATATAACTAGGCCCTAAGTAGGCCATAAGAACAAAGCGATTTTCATCATGTTCAAGGTTTAATAGATGATAGTTGTAAAGAAGAAAAATCCTTTGAAAAGTTCATCTAATGCAATAGTCAATTGAAACCCCGACCCCCGGGACAGAGCAGGGAATTAACGAGGGAATGGCCGTGGATTAACATGGTTTTAATGCACCATTTCCCCGGGGTACACGGTAAATAACAAGTCAATTTATTAACCGGGACAATAGGCGGAACTTTAACGTGTGGCTGATATGAAAGTGGACTGGAACGAGTTTATCCTCGTGGCAACATGGCGGAATCTTCAAAGGGAACATATTTTCACTTTTTATATATTCCTGATGATGACTGCAAGATACTCGAAACATAGATTATTCAGTATCTTTTGATGCGGATCAAAGTTTAAGAACAAGAATTGCCTTCACATGTTGTGAACACTTTATACTTCAACGATTTCCCATTTCCCAAGTCATGAAAATTTGCAAAGTGCCGGGGCCATAGGGGTGGTAACTTTAACAGTCAATATTCCCCCGGTAGCGGGGAAATTACCAAAATTTAACATTGTCAAAATGTTAATTTCCCCCGCCCTATCCCGTGGGTCGGGGGGGGGGGGGGGGTTTCAATTGACTAGTGCATCATCACTGATGTCAGTTGCACACCAATGTTGATGTCGGTTGTTAGCGACATTTTAAGACCTTTCAAAATTGTGTGTTAGTGTAAACATTAAAAAACTTGGTATTTGTTTTCTTTCCTTTCTTTACAAAAAATTGTACGATCAGCATACTTACTTTCCATGGTTTTCAAAGAATTTTTGGAAGATTGAAAAAATCAATATTCTATCTGCTGGATAGCACTATCCAACCTTTGTACAACTGTCCTGGGCATGGGGGTAAAATATTATGTTGTATGACTGGACAATTGGTAATTTTCATATCTGGTAGAGTATTGTCACATCAGAACCGGGTTTCTTCTTGTCCTGGTCATAGCACTGAATTTTCAAATTGTTTGAGGCAAAAGAAATAAATAATGGCCAGAGCCTGTTAAGAAAGACATAGTATTACTTAATCAAATATTGGAAGACAAGCAAACAGTTGTAGGGTCCAATGGCCCATAAGGACCATGCACAATTTCTTAAAATACTTCAATAATTTATTTGATTAATAAATTTGTTTGATGTTACTCTGAGTATAACCAACCGGGCAAGCAGAAAATGCTTGACCGCGGTGGGATTCGAACCTGCGACCTTTGGTTTGCTAGTCCAATGCTCTGCCAACTGAGCTACGAGGTCATGTCGGTTCGATATGTGATATTTCGGAACATTGGACTTGCACACCAAAGGTCGCGGGTTCGAATCCCACCGCGCTCAAGCATTTTCTGCTTGCCCGGTTGGTTATACTCAGTGTAACATCAAACAAATATTAATAATACACCTGAGTGCATATAACATCACAACAACAACATTTATCATCTTAGAATTTAACTGATACCGAAGGAACTAGAACTTGTTCCGAAATATCACATATTGAACCGACTTGACCTCGTAGCTAAGAATTACAAATGCGAACACATGTTTAGGATTTATTATAATACATACTGACATGAGCTTCATGCATCAATAGCCAAAGCACAAACCATTCTGCTATTCACTTTGTATTCAACAATGACTCTGCATGCTGTGGCAGCTGTGCCATATAATACAGAATAGTTCCCTTCTTCGATCCAATGCCTTCGCTTCTTCATCACTCTTGATTCCACTTAATAATGACACAGCACTGACTCCTAGATCGTGTAGTTTTTTGGCTTGATCACGCATTGAATTTATCAATGGCGAAACCACGATTAATACTAAATGTCTACACGTTCACAATTTGTTTAAATATTTAAATCCGAATATTACATCCAATAGCTTCGGTAACGGCGTGATAAATAAGTGATTTCCTGTGCCAGTTGTGAGATTTACGAAAACATCCTTCTTTTCGTTTATAATAGAATGAAAAGCCTGATGCGCAGTATTAAAACTTTCAAATTTAAAAATACTACAGACTTTGTTGATATCAGAATAGTAATCTATTCAGCAACATTCGCCTCATCTGTTCAGTTGAAGGTATTGGGATGAAAATATGGGTCTGAACAGATGTGGAAAGGTTGCGCGGCAACAGAAGCGCCCGAACTGGACGAATTTCTGGGTGGGCGGGTGGGTTGTTTTGTCTTTCGGTCAGATTTGTGTCTCCTGACGGAATTCACGCTAAATTGTGCAATTTCAGCTAGGTGAGGTCATTTTATACATTGCCTGCATCACACGATACCTAATCTACATATATATTGCATAATTATACCACATTTCCTTTTACATATGATTACGAGTATTGCGAATAGTAATCTATTCAGCAACACTCGCCTCATCTGTTCGGTTCAATGAAGGTATTGGGATGAAAATATGGGTCACCACCACTTGTTCTCAGTTACTCATCCCACCCCACCCACCGATTCATCTCTTACACTTGTCTCCCAATCCTTCTAATCTCCCAATCCTTCTAATCTCCCAATCCTTCTTTCCATCCTACTCCCATACCTTATCCCCAAACCTCAAATTATATCCTGTTCATGCAGCCGAATCGGTAGGCGGGCACATGGTCAAAGATCTAACAGGATACACACAAATAACACGTATAAGTTGATTAATATCATGCCAGTCCGCCGTTGCTTGTGGTTTATCATGGGACGGCAACTTAACAGACGCTCCCATTGCATGTAGCACCATCTCGAGTGGAAGATAATGCAGCACGGTATACCTTCGGTTTGCGATGGCTATATATAGCATTCGCTATATATCGTTCGATGGCAGCCAACAGGCACAAAATGGTGTTAGAATTTCAGTGAATTCCAAACACATTAGCGCCTCCAGCACGTAAAGTCATGCGCAGGAACTTTCACCTGTCCTAAGGCTCCAATGCGTGCACCACTAAAAACATGTACTTGAAATAGCCGGATCTGGGGAGTCTGCTGCTCGCCTACGATCATCTCCCATTGTTCGTAATATTTATGTAGCTCCACCGGACGAAAAGAATGAGGAATTAGGAATAATAAAATAATTGGATCACCCAACTAATCGCCACGAAATACTCACGATTTAATTCTCCAATATGTGGGCGGACGGCCATGCCCCCACCAACGGCATCAGCGTCCCCCCCATAATTGACCCATGTAGCCGTCTCTGGCCATGGGGAGCTGCTTCCACAACCTGTAGAACATCAAACTCGAAAGCCTACTCCCATGGTAAATTGTTAACGTGAGCATAGACGAGGAGAACAACCAAAACACCGTCAGTAGAGGGGCGACCGTCCTGACCCAGTAAATCAACCGGGGGAAGTATGTATGAAGGAACTTCCGTTTGCAGGACCGTCACTCTCCATGAGGTGATTGGATGGCAAAACGAGTCGAAAAGTACCAAAACAATAAACAAAGACAGCATTAATAATCGGATGAATCTCGTAAGTCGACATACACATGTAAATGATACATGTGAAAAGGATCACTACCACAACAATGCTCGCGCTCAGAGTATCGTAAGGACATCATTCATATTGAAAAATATCACACCAAAATAACGCACATGCACATACATATTGTAAAAATTGAACTCGATGTCCGTGCGAAATATTTCGACCAAACGGAAAGAATTGGCCTGGTCATGTTGAGTATCGTGCGAAGCGTTCTGCAAACTGCCTCGACCAGATCCACCACTTTGTATTTATTAACTGCTAACTGAGCAGTGCTAAGAACGAACACAACACCAGGGTCATACGGTGTAAAGTAGAGATGACCCGCACGCATTGGTGAGCAAATCTATTGAGTGTTCGATTTCCTCAGATTTAGCGCGATAGGTGTAAGGGAAAAGAACATGCACATACTGATCAACAGTATATATGTATAAAGATCTCATACACATCCCATCGTCAATCGTGGAACTAACAGAGTATCTGATTTATCTCAACCTTAGTCAAATATGAAGACTTGTAGGAAAATATCCGATCTACTCTAGATCTTGGCGAAATTTAATCATAGTTTATAACTCATGAACCACAAAATGGTATGCATCGTGTTGGAACCCAGTACAATTTATTATGTTCGAATTTGACCAGAGAATCTTAGAAAATTCATTCAAATAGCGCAACACATAAATGCATGAATGAGTAAACTCAGGAGTATTGTTGATTAAAATATTTGAATAACAAAGATCCTCAATTCAAACGACAGCATGTCAACATAGAACAGACCTATACGAAACTCTTGTATTATAAAATCCATTACTCCAGAACACTAATTACACACATGCCAAAGAACAACAGTCGTATTAATTCCAAACGTTCCGCGACATGTTTATCACTGGGCGCTATTTAACGCCATGGCATGCAGTCATGAAATAAACGAGCATTCGCACCAGTTACAGCTTCCCGCATGATCAACCATGCTATCCTAGTATACTACGGTGCACTGGTTAAACATAGACCAAACAAAGATAGTCATTTCAAACAGCTCAAGCCTTCCCGCGACAGATTGGTCATGGAGCACTGCAAACAAGGCCAGTTTCATAACGAAAACTGACGAACAATTACACTAGTTCAAGCTTCCCGTATATTTATTATCTATTCTACAGGACACTATAGTTACATATGTCGCAAACAAATAATCTAGTCATTTCACACAGCTCAAGCCTTCCCACGATATATTGGCCACGGGGCGCTGTAGACAAAACCACTTTCATACAACCGAATAAACAATCATTCACCCCAGTTCAAGCTTCCCGTATCCAATATGCTTTTGACAAGGAATTGTTCACTGTGGCTGCAAAGGACACTATCAAGCAATATATGACATTTTCCATGAGTGAGATTGAGGAGGATGATAGTGACGGTAGCAGTGCTGATGCCCGTGATGGTAGCAGTGCTGATGGTAGCAGAGATTATGGTAATGACCAAGTATTCTATGGGGCACTGGTTTAATCATTTCACACAGCTCAAGCCTTCCCACGACATATTTGCCACGGGGCGCTGTAAATAAAACCACTTTCATATAACTGAATAAACGATCATTCACACCAGTTCAAGCTTCCCGTATATTATCAAGCATTCTACGGGGCACTGGTTTAATCATTTCACACAGTTCAAGCCTTCCCATGACATATTTATCACGGGGCGCTGTAGATAAAACCACTTTCATATAACTGAATAAACGAGCAGTCACACCAGTTCAAGCTTCCCGTATTATCAAGCATTCTACGGGGCACTGGTTTAATCATTTCACACAGCTCAAGCCTTCCCACGACATATTTATCACGCGGCGCTGTAGATAAAACCACTTTCATAACTGAATAAACGATCAGTCACACCAGTTCAAGCTTCCCGTATTATCAAGCATTCCACGGGGCACTGGTTTAATCATTCAATTTCACACAGCTCAAACCGTCCCACGACATATTTATCATGGGGCGCTGTAGTTAAAACCACTTTCATCACAATAAACGAATGGTTACACCAGTTCAAACTTCCCATATGGTCAAACCACGGGACGTTCCCATATTAGATTATCGAATTCGTCGATACACATGCCTGATATCAACAATCAGTTATTCATTTCAACGATAAATAACAGCATTCGAACTAGCATTGCCGCCTACGAGCGGGTCATTACTCATTAGTATGAATTATTAAGCCTATACTGTTATTGAACAATGGGTGAAAAGATTGCAAAAGATAAGGCACAAGACACTTATTTTTGACAGCAGACTACTAAAATCTGGAATAACTCAAATTTCACAAGCAATACTATAACCCGCCTCGATTAACCATCCTAACAGAGGGGAGCCATGCACAAAACAACTGGTGCAAGGCGCTCATGCACGTAGAAGCGAGCACGATTACGATTACATTATAACGAACAGTTATATACCTCCAAATCGTCCGAGATTTGTTGCCGTTGTGGCGCTGCTGGAGGATCTTGTAGACTTCGGCGTGATCGAGGCCTTGCGGAACAGCTGGTGGCGCTGCTTGGCCAAGATATTGCTGTGCCTCTGCCATGACTCTCAACGAAATTCGTACAGTTCGGGTCGCCTAATTTTTGTCTTTCGGTCAGATTTGTGTCTCCTGACGGAATTCACGCTAAATTGTGCAATTTCAGCTAGGTGTGGTCATTTTATACATTGCCTGCATCACACGATACCTAATCTACATATATATTGCATAATTATACCACATTTCCTTTTACATATGATTACAAGTATTGCGAATAGCCCAGTGGAGGTCGATGTTCCAATTATCGTGTAAATGATTGTAATTTGTTAATCGCCGGGAAGTCAAATGTGTAGCGAATGTGAGCAGACGTTAGGTTACGGGGCCTTGGCCACTAACAACGTCTGCGCAGGAGGCTACCATTTTCTCGGTGTTTGGCAAGTTTTTTGCTTGGGAACTTTTTGTGGTAATTTAGCATCTATGGTACTATGAATTGAACCACAGAAAATCTATTCCCCAGGGGGTTGCAACGAAATTGCTTTTCTATTAAGTACTTTTTCGCACAACGGTCCACGGCCTATGAAGTTTGTGATCATTTTTGTTTATTTTTACTATCAATTGACTTCTATAGTTATTTTTCATCATATCATCATGGTAAATTGTCTACGTTTGGCACATTTTGGTTCATGGTAAATCATGTGAGTTTTTATATCATAAAAAAGTTCCATTAACATTGTATAGTACTCCATGTTATACACCATATATAACATGGATATGTAGAATAGCCCATAATAAGTCTTTCGCTAAGTTCATTCATAATACCTAATAGTTCCCGCATGGTTGCGCATTGAGTTTTGGGATGCCAGGAAGCAAGCAAACTTTCGGTAATATAACAAAATAGGCAAAATATAAAATAACTCATAACATATATTCGGCACTATAGATCAGAGCGTTTTGTAAAGTGACTTCCATAACATTACATAACCTCCTGGCCACAGAATAAGGAAACACACACAATAGAATCATGCGAGTGAAATTGAACTCCCGCTCGAGATTTCTGGTAGCCTAGGGTTTCGTATTTCGGTTTTAATAAACGAATTTGTCTCCATAATAAGTTTTTAGATGTTCTCTGGTTTTTAAATATTTATTATTACCACCCGTTGAAGACTGCAGACTGGCAGCCGAAAGCTCGTAATAATAAATACTTAAAAACCAGAGAACGTCTAAAAACTTATTACTCGCTGGGGCACTGTGCCCCAGACGAGTATAGGTTTCGGCTCTGTTCTTGGATCGGCAATCTCCAATCGTCGATAGCCACAAAATAGAATATTAATGAGCTGCTTGATCCTTTTCAAAATGGCGGGGCCTTTCGTGGAGTGGGCAAAATGTTTCAAACAATTTCCTGAAAATTTTGAACCAATTGTACCTGTTTTCTATGCATTTTGCATTGTGTCTAACTCTGGACAATCTTGCTAGTTTATTTAATGCGTTTTTCTTAGTGCACGACTCTGAAAATTCGAAATTTGGATCGTTGAATTCCCGTGCACGACCATAATATACTGAATCTGAATATAAACGAGCCAAAGACAATTTCAAGGTAAAAGGTTATAACTTAAACTGCACAACGTAGTTTTAATAAATAACTACTTTATGAGAAGCATATTGGTGTCATATCAATATAAAATTTATCGAACAACAGTCGGTGAAAACTGTAGTGTACTCAGTGTGAAATAAGGTGGCTCGATACAGTTTTCAAAAATTCAGGTGTTTAACACTTTGACATGTTCAAACTACGTATTTTTAGGATTTATTCAGCAGATATTGTTTTTTTTTTATATATTTTGATAACTCTACTTTCAAACTATATTAGTTTTAGTAACAGATAGTTCATTGCTATGACGACATACGTGTACGAAATTCACTCCAAAATGACCTATCGTCTCGTATAGTTGGAAAAAAAGCATGGTGACCCCCAATTTTTTTTCGTGCATTATTTTACCTGGACGAAAAGCTAACAATTAGCAAAATATAAAAAAATTCTGTGATGCCATTTTTTTGGAAAATGCGAAAATGTCATATTCTTCGGTAAATTATGTTTTGGCATTACAGAATTTTTTTATTTTTTGTATAATGAAAGTTTTTAGCAGTGCAATACAGCATGCAAAATTTCAACATAGGTCACCAGACAAAATAAAGAGATATAGCGCATTGTTTTTCTCAAATGGAAAATTCTAATGACGTCAGCAATTGACATAAAACGCTATAGAACACGCACAATGGCGTGATATGGCGCGAGCAACTGCTCACGTCAGGTCATTTTGGAAGTTCTTTCATTTTGTTAATCAGTTTCCGCGACCTGCGCGACTTGTGCGCGTAAAAATGGTCACCCGGTTTTGAGTTCGCGATTCTTGAGCAGAGTTTTTGTGATAACTATATCGAGCCACCTTAATGGCGCAATAAGGATAAAAATACCACCGCTCGATTCAGCGTAAGAAATTGTACTTACGAATGAGAAATTGTACTTACGGATGTCAACTGCATTACTAAACAACTGACAACAGTATTCTAGCGATTTATGGCCTTTGTATTTGAAAGTCAAGCGAAATTGTATTATTTGTTGACAAATCGCTCAAATTATAAATAATGCAATACGTTTGATCCTTTGGTATCGTTGGGAAGGTTGGTTTTCTCTTTTTCGGCCGTATACCAGTGGATTCGTCTCACTTCTCTCTTCATTTTGATAATATTTTGAGCCCAAAAGCCCCCAAATATTTTATTTTGAACGTTTTAAACTGACGGCTGACAGAAGAATGTAGCATACTATAAAATATAACTTTACTTATGGGCATAAACGCCGGAAGTTTTATTGGGTTGGGATAAAACGCGGAACCGGAATGCGGATTGCGGAAGCGGATTCCGGAAGCGGATTCCGCAAATGAGGATAAAACGCGGATTCCGGAAGCGGATTCCGTAAATGAGGATAAAACGCGGAATTGAAGTAGAATAAGGACGAGAAGCATAATAGGGTAAATTAAGTTTGATCACAACATAAACTTTATGCCACAACCATTGAAAAATTTACCTGGCAAAATTTTCCCTTGAATGTTACTTATAAAATAACCAAATAAATAAAGCAACAGAATTTACTGTTCCGCAAGTTTTAGTATGCATTTGTTAACTTATTTGTAAAATATTTAAAAATAATAGGATTCAAAATTTTACGTGCGTGTTAGCGTGTACGTGCGTACGAAAAACGCAACAGTGGAAATCAGCCTTTAGATCTTAACAGTAATGTTCGTCCGTTGTATAGCCCCAGCGAGTTAACGCTCCATAGAGCGTCTTGTTATGAATAATCCTGGTTACGCTTCAAACATATTTGAATTTGTCTCCGTCCATTTTCTTAAAGCCTCGAGCAGTTCTGAAAATGACCAATCTCTCCAATCACCAAAACATGCGTGACTAACTCGGCTTTTAAAATTTCTAATTTCTTAATTATGATGCATAAAAAGGAATCATCTTCAATCGTCTCAATTTCCCCAGTGTGCGGAGACTCTCGACATTGAACAATATAGTTGTTCATAAAATTTATGGATTTTACGCGGAACTAATACGTGGAACAACGAGTTCCTTTAGGTGAGAAAACTTGGTGATAGCTGATACTTGTTGACTATCTACCATCGCATTGAATTGACATCCCAACCGAACCCAATCCAAAAGAGTGCCATTGAATTTGGTTATTGTAAGTTTCAGTATTTTTACTGCCGCAGAGGATTTCACACTGAGCTCCTTTTGTTTGAGTTCGGCTTCAAGCTTTTTTTCTATTAATTGTTTTTCAAATCCATGCACAGTTTCTGAACCTCACTATTACTTGTGTAGAATTATTCCATTATTCTTTATTCCAAAGCTTTCAAACGTTTACATTATCGGTAAGTTTTATTTTAAATACGACAAACCCGCTCTCAGTGGAGAGACGTGCAATGGGTTCCTCGGATTTCGGAGGGCGCAACCGGCACGCAAACAACTGGGGGGACGATCCCCACCTCCGTTCTAAATATACCGGCCATTCTTTATTATTCTGACGCGGCACGATGGTATATTTAGACCTAGATGTAAAAATCTAACCTGGCTACGCTATCCGAATCTAAATCGAAGCTAAGCTAATGCTAAGCTGAGTTAAAAAAAAAAAAAAAAAGCTAAAAAAGCTAAAAAAGAAGCCACAAGAGTACCGAACCGATCCGGGCAGTACTACCAATGAAGACGACCCCCTATCACGGAACGGCAAAGATGAGACTAAGCCAACCAGCCCAAGAACACGACGAAACGATTCCGGCAGTACAACCAACAAAGGCGACCACCTTTCACAGAACGACGACAGGACCAGCCAAGCTTAGGGAGAATAATTAAAATGAGAAGACCAGCTTCTCGCCCTCAAAGTGCCCGAGAGTCTTATTGGCCAACCACTGCTTCTCAAACGACCGAATTTGAGAAGGAGAACGACAGCGGCCGGCGAGCACTTTGAGAAGAAATTTTAAGCGCGCGATCATTGCCTTCAAGCACTCTGCCTCTGTGCGCAGCACGCCGCGAAAACGAAAATCACAGCGAGCGACCCAGAGGTGGTGTTTTACTACCTGCAACATCCACAAGATGATCTTAGGGACGTTGCGACGTCTGTTTGTGTTGATCCCGAAAAGCAATTCCTCGACGGTGAAGGGTGGAGCGGATGGACAGACAACCATGAGGTTGAAGTACACCCAACCGACGAGAATCCTGGCATAGGCACACTCGAAGAAAAGGTGTTCCAACGTCTCCTCATCTGCACGGCAGTGACAACGCACCTCGATGTTGGCCATCCCGAACGAGTTGACAAGACGAGAGGCCGTGTAAAGAACACCGTGCGCTATCTTCCAGTTCACGTCAACCACCGGTCTGTCCAAAGTTGTTAAATGGACTTGGTCCCAAGTCTGGGACCAATACAACGGACCGTAAGTGGGACGGAACTTGCCAATGCAGTGAGGTTCCGGAGTGACCAGCCTGCGGCCAATGACATAGGCCACATGGGAAGTGATTTCGGGGAGGGAGCGAGGTCGATCGGACGAGACATCCAAAGAGAGGAGCCCGTCCACCACACCCCCGTCAAACTGAAACCAGGCGCGGAGTAGAAACTGGTAGTACGAAGGCAGAAGAGAAATTAATCGACGCGGGAAAGTATTTACAGAGAGAGCTTGAACTGGCATGACAGAAAGACATGACAGGAGAAAGAAACTGAAGAAGGCCTTCCATTTGCCAGGTGCGGGCGAAAAGTAACGACGCACCCACTGCAAGGAAAAAGCCTTGGCCTTCAGCTCAAAATCTATCACGCCAAAACCCCCCAGAGCTTTGGGCAAGCAAACCGTCCGACGCGCAACCAGCTCTTTGCGGCCAGACCAAAAGAAAGCCCAAACAGCCTTTTTGATACGTTTGATAGCCCACTCCGGGATGACAAAAACATGGCAAAGATGCCATATTTGGGAGAGGGCTAACGTATTAATGACCGTCGCTTTGCCTTGGAGAGTGAGTTGCCGACCCTTCCAAGCTGACAGCCGCTGTTCAAGCTTCTTCACCGGAGGTTCCCATGTTGGAACCGAATAGGCACCGGCGCTAAAGGTACCACCTAGAAGCTGCAGTTCCTTCACCCATTTGATACCATACGGGGAATCCTGCCGGAACTTCCAGGCGCCCAACCACATGCCCTTCGATTTGCCACGATTAAGTTTGGCACCAGATGCTTTCTCGTACAGGGCATACGTGTCGAAAGTTGCCCCCATTGAATTGTCCGAAGTGACGGCAATGGAAGTGTCATCCGCATAGCCAGAACACTTGAACACCTCGTCACGCCCTGGCAAAGCAACACCCTCGATGTCAGGAGAGGCTGTGATCATACAGGCCAGTGCCTCGATGCAGAGAACATAGAGAAGTGGCGAAAGAGGGCAACCCTGGCGGACCCCGCGTGATGGTTGAAAAAAAGACGAGGTCCAACCGTTGATGACCACAGCAGATTCAACATCGGTATAAAACAGCCGAATCCACTGGCGAAAGGAATCCCCAAAACCAAACGTAGAAAGGATTCG